CACACCACCACCATCACTGGGAGTCAGAACCGACCCCACCGCACACCACCACCATCACGAGGAGTCAGAACCGACTCAATGGCACTCACCAACAACAGTATCTGTCACCTAACAAATGTTAGCTGTTACGATTCTTACTGCTATTACTGTTGCTGTTAAGTGCCAATGAGTTGGTTTCGACTCACAGTGACCCTGTAGAGGGTTCCCGGGGAGAGGCTGGTAAGTTTGAACTGCCGAACTTGTGGTCTAGAGCATTATCTTGCAGCACCACACCAGCACTGCTATTACGACAGGTCCTAAAATAAAGAAAAACTGAAATAGTATAATTTTAAAACTGCTTTAAAAGCACTATGAAGACATGTTGTTGTTAAGTGCTGTTGAATTGGTTCTGACTCATAGTGACCCTATATAGGGTGTCCGAGGAGCAGCTGATGGATTTGAACCATCCATCTTTTTGGTTCAAATGGACCTTTCGGTCCAGCGCATTATATTGCAGTGCCACACCAGGACTCCTAAAAGATGCAGGTGGTGAGTTATGTGCCATTGAGCTGGTTCCGACTCATGATGACCCTGTATAGGGCTTCTGAGCCTGTAAATCTTTCCAGGAGCAGAGCTTCATCTTTCTCCCAAGGAGCACCTGGTAGATTCGAACTGCTGACCTTGAGGCTAACAGCCCAACTTGTAACCCACTATGCTACCAGAGCTCCTTTTAAAGACATAGGAGAAAGTAACTATTCCAGAAAGACTTAAGAACTGCTTCTTGAGAAGATAATATTTAAACTTCAAAGACAAGCAGGAGCTTATTAATAAAGGAATGGCATTCTAGATGAAGGAAATCGAATGCAGTGTTCTCAGGTAAGCTTACAGTTGAAAATCAGTTCAATGTGCCTGGAGTGGGGAGAGGCACAAGAATAGCGGATTAGTTCAAGAAAAACAGGTGACAGGATGAGAATTTCATTTGAGAGACTATAAAAAAAGAGTAACATGGAAATTCCAGCACTGAAAAATACAATAACTGAAATGAACAACTCAAAGATAGGGTAACAGTAGATTAGATACAGCTGGAGGCAGGATTGGTGACGAAGGGTCAGTAGTAACACTCCTGAGATCACCCTAAACAAACAGGAAATGTAGAATGATAGACAGACACTTACCTGAAAGGTACCAGTACTCCACGAAGAAATTACCAAGCAATGTCGGGAGAAAAATGTAGAGGAAGGCAGTGGATTTTCCTTCCTTTAAACATATTTTTGAGTAGAAAATGTTCTACTTGATGCTTCCTGCTCTTGGAAAGCAGTTGTAACCAAGCCAAAATCCTGGTTTAGATTTTAGACTGGCTGTCAGCTAGTACTACTATTGAAACACTGGACAGATTGTGTCTGGGCAGTGCCTGACCTCTACTGAGGTGCCTCAAGTGAAATAACATTAAGCACGTTGACTCCATTTGTTAAGGGTCAGAGATTCTAAAATAATAGATTCCAAACTGTTTTTCTATTAAAGAGTTGTTGATGACTTTAAAGAAAACCATTAGACATTTTAAAGGCAGCAATTTATAATTCCACCAAGTAAACTCTGGAAGAGAACATCCGACACATGCCTTCATTATTGTCAGTCTCTTTCTCAGAAAGGTCTTCTATCAAACTGTCAAGAAGCACCTGGAATTTACCTCAAAAACGAATGCTGCTCTTATTGCTCATTCAGTAGAAGCTATCTCATCGACAGACTTCACAGATATTCATCTAGAAACCACTGCAGCTTTGATTTTCTTACTTTTATAAGATACATTTCACTTTTTAATAAGAACTGAAATATTTTTATCTCTACTTTTAGACTGTATCGCAATACATATATGTTACTTAAAAATATAAAAGATAAAGGAAACAAGTGTAAATTGCTACAATTTGATGAACTTGCCCTATGGATGGAGTAGCTCAAAATACCAACTGAGAGGGAAGGAATCTTCACATCAAGGATCAATCCTATCCTCTCTGTACACTGGGCTGATAAGGGATGGGCAAGTTAGACATTGACAACCTAAAATGGGGGGCTATAAAGGCACAAAGTGATTGGCTTAGAAGTTTTCAAGAGGGAGTTTAGTTTCAGAGTGTTCGGGGAAAGGTAGAATCCTCAAAGAATAGTTTTCATCTTGTCTAGACGGGTCTGGTGAAAGGAGCTGGGGATAAGTTTCTTATGAATCAATAGTGAGTAACTGTTATTATGACTGTCACACTGTAAAG